TTTGCATCAGAAAACTGGCCCTATTGTCACCCCTTTTAAACAGGTCTTAGATCAGTTTTGAAATCCAGGGTAGAAGTGTGTACAGGCCAACTTTAAGATCAGAAATTAATTTTGTTCATCTCTGGTCAAGTATAACAGCAACTACTAAACTGATAAACTTCGCTTAGGTATAGAAGAGCTCAGTTTTGGAGAGGAAATTAGAAAGGCAGAGCTAATTGCTCAGGAAGTAGATGTCAGAGTAAATTCGGATTTAGTACCTTGCCAATTCCAGACTGTTTATCTTTCAGACCATGCTGCTTGTTTCTTTGTATACAAACTTTAGCACAGTAAGTGAAAATAGTAAATACAGGAGTTTATGAATGCTTTATATGGTCTGTGAGGCTGTTTTGAAATATTGGAATAATTTTCCGAGCCTTGTTTAGTTGAGTAAAAATGTGGGTTTTTTTCCAGTCACTCACTAACTTTATAAAGCTGACTGGATTCACAAGACTCTTGCTCTGCTATGGTTTTTCCCAATTACTGTATCTGTTACGCCTTTGGGACCCAAATTAGGACCGTAATCTGTTCATGCAAACATCGAAGTGGCCTCCTGACTAAATATGAGTGTCCTGTTTAGGAGGACAGTATAAGATATTACTGTAAATGTAGGTTTGTGCCAACAAAATGTGCTTTTATTATTTGTAGAAAGAAGTAGCTAGAGGCAAATGTGTTCTTATCAGTAAAGCTACTATAAAGCATTTACTTATGAGCCAAGTAGTTTCTTACACTCTGGACATTTCAATTGTAGGCACAATATATACCATGAATCTGTTGCTGATAATGGAGTTTAATGATAGTAAAACCTGTTGCACTGGTCAGTTTGTTGCTTCATTAGCTCGTTTATTGTCTAATACAACTGCATCATCCACACCTGGAGTGCTACATATATAGCAGTATAATGTGTGGCAACTATGTTTTCAAGGGCAGTGGGAGGGATAACTTGAGAATGGTAAGCCTAAATTCTAAACAGAAGTGTTTACACTAGCATGTCCTCCCTTTGGGAAGGAGAAGGAGGAGAGCAAAGCCCTTGGGACTGAAAGCTTTCATCCTTGTCTAAACGATGACTTTTCCCAAAGTCTGTGAGAAACCTGCTAGTCTGTTACAGAGGAGATGGAGATTGGTAGAGAATTATAAAGTAGATTAAAAGCCCCCTCTGCTCAGAGTTCCTTTTCAAAAAGAGAAACAGTTCAACTGTAGATAGGTTGGCTGGGAAGGTTTTTCAGAGTTAGTCTTGGGATCCATCTCTTCATAGTTCATTTATTAATTTGATAAGAATTTGATGATTTTGAGTACAAACCAGTAGAAACATGATGGAACTGAAAACAACAAAGTTTAATGTTTGTACTCAGTAGCATGCTTGGGGTTCAGTCTTTTGGAAATGGCTGTGGAATGAGCAGCATAGATTAATGAGTTGGATTCACTAAAAGATGAAGCCTTGAACCTCATAGATCCTGGAACTTCCAGTAAGTGTAGCAATGCCACTCAACTACATGTGTGCTGGCCCCCTGTTCCCAAGGGGAATGAATTTCCACCAGAGCAGGTGGAGGAAAGGAGTGCTAGGAGGGTATGGAAGACTGAGACTCCCATGTCTAAACTAAAGGACACTAAAGGGCCCTGGCTAGGGGCTAGGCTTAGCTCACAAGCTGGGAGAAAGATTTGATAATGCTGTATAAATATTTTACAGTGGTAAGCACCATGGGAGATGGGAAGGTTTGAATTATAACATCAGCATAAGAACAAATGAGTATTAATTGTCTGTGAATTAACTGGGGCTGGAAATTAGGCAAAGGCTTCCAACATCAGAATAAACTTTGAAGCAGCCTTGTGGTAGAAGAAGTAGCAAATGACCTTACTTGTCTTTGGGTGAAGGTGGATCAGATTCCTGATGAAGACTGTGATGAGGAAGGCGGGTATGTGGCTTAAGGTCAGAGGGAGTCCTTTTCAGTTTTGTATTCAGTTTCTCTATAGATGTCAAGAAATTCAGAAATGTATCTTGCCTGTGTTATACAGCCTGTGTAATTTTAAATTAAAATTGATGAAAGTATACTGTTTACCTTTTTATTAGGAATTATGTAATGTGTCTTTGAATCAACTGGTTTTTTTTTCCTCTTCTGTTTTAGCATAGTGCATCAGGTAGGAGAAATGGAAATTGGTGTGTGAGAGGGAAGGGATGGAATTTGCTCAGTGTACTGAACTATAGAAACTACTAGCCTAGATGGGACCCAGCAAGCCCTGCTTGCTGAGCTGACTAAAATAACTGTAGGGAACAACTGGGCAACCTATCACTAGCAGTTTCATGTAACCTGTTTTTAGAATGCCCGGCTGGGATGCATTTAAGGACTGGTATTTCTTCGGAAGACCTCAGTTTTTCAAATGGGAGTCAAGCAGCTCTAACTCTTTACTTTAACAGATTGCGTAGCATCTATTCTTGAGGACATTGTGTTCCACACAGTCTCCAAATAAGAGAGAGAGTTTTGCATCTAAATTCATAGGAGGCAGAAGAAAATAATCTTGTCTTATAAGTTGGCCACTGTAGTGTGATAGTGTGCTGTTTCTGGAACGTTAGGGTGTTTGCAGATGAATTGATGCTCATTCTTAAAGGTGTTGTCATGAAGTATGGGTAGCCTTTATTCTTCTTCAAAACAGAAAAAAAAATTGGATTCTCTGAGGACTGAAATATATTTCGAACTCTGATCAGGTGGAATAAAGATAGGTAGCCTGGAGGTTTGGTTTATGGATTTGTATTTTTGAGAAAAATATGTCATAATTTTATGGATGCAGAGGTTGACTGTATATCTTAAATATGCTTTCTAAGTTTGACAGATCAATGTGCTGGGTGTGCTTTCCCAAAATTAATTTTCACTTAATAACCGTGAACTGATGGTGTTGCTGAAGTCTAGATTGTCAGTGACCTAATTGGCTAGAGGCAACGTTTAGGGTGTTGCTCTTTTTAGCAGCTCACTGTACCACAAGCTGGAAGATGCATCTGCCTTTCTGAAGAGCAGTGAGGGCTTTTTTTTTTTTTTTTTGGTCTTGAAATGCTGTTCTGGAGCATTACAGTTTAAATCTAAACAAAGGTGGTTCAGACTGCAGTTTGATGACACACATGTTGTTTAGGGAGTGCTCTTACATATTCTGTTCTGTTGTCAGAGTTAAGGGCATGGGTATCTTCTCAGTAATTGATGCTAAGTCTTCAGTCACTCCAGTTAGAATTACAAGAGGAAATTTTATGCCACTAGCATGTTACTGTTAAATTGGATGTACCTGATGTTACCAATTCCTTTTTTATTCTGAGAATTAGTATTATATCCTCTGCAAATTGTTTCTAGCCTTTTAGGCTAGGCAGTGATAAAAGCCAAAAGAGCAGGCAGTCACTGTTTATAAAAACTTGCTTTCCAACAGGACAATGCTGATGTCTGCGGCTAACTGTATTCTCTTGCAGATTTAATCTATAGTAGTTAAGAGTTGGCTTAAGTAAAAGTCCTTTTCGTTTGCCCTTTTGAATAGATACAATCACTGAAGTGAATTAATCTGAGTTATGACAGATTCCCTTGTGTAAATTACTATTCCGTATAAAACAATATAACAGTGTTCTGAAATGTATTCTGTGGGAGTTACTTGACTATTTTTTATATTTTCATTTTAATGTCAACAATTTAAACTACAGCACAGATTTTTTAATTAATAATTTGGAACTCATGATGTATTAAGTTACTATCGATCACCATAACACATTGGATATCTTTGAATGGCAGAAGTTCACAGCAGAGCAAATGTCCATTTAAATGAGAGGCCTTTGTTAATTATCTTTGCCTTCACAAATGGCAGTGTGTCTGGATATAGTTAGAAAAATACTGAAAATCAGTTGAGCATGTTAAGCTTAAATTTGTTTGAGATTTTTGTAGACTGGGAGAGATGTGTCTGAAAATGGAAGTAATTTGTGTTTGAATTTAGTATGCGATTGTACTTAAACTGATTGACCTGTATGGCAAGTGCAGAGAATAAGGACGACCAGTACTGGAAGGTGTAGTGGCCTTCTCTCTTCAGCATTTCAATTTTTAAAAAATTCCTTTAAGAAGTTAGTCATGGCCACTGTATTGACAGGCTTTTGCCAAAGATTACTTCTGTTCTTTGAGGAGGAAATTTGTTGTTTGTTTCTGTGTTCAGCACCACTGTGGTTTGTGACAGCTGGTTGTGGAGGACCTCTAGGGATGCCTGGTACCAAGCTTGCACAGCTGGAGTCACCGTGCTTCAAGCAAAGACAACTCCAAGCACCAACTTGGCACTCTCCTCCTCCAGACTGCTCACAGCACTGCCCCTGTCAGAAAGCAAAGGGGGAGGAGAGATGGCTGCTTTCACATAACTTCGTGGTGTTATTTGCATTAATAAGAAGTACTTCACCAAGGCAGTAAATAGCAAACTCCTTCACATGGATGCAGTTATTGCATGGTAATTAATGTATGTGTTTATTCTGTCCTAACCTAAACCACAACATTAATAACAACGATGTCAAGAGTGGAATCCAAAAGGAGTTCGAGGACTGTGGAAAGGGGATTCTACAGCAGAAGTGTAGTCTCTTGGATGTCCACAAGGCTGAGGCTGCCTGTGGCTGCAGAGTTATTTTTCTGAGTGTAGTTATTTTTCTCCAGTGCCGCAGTACCAGGTGTGCTAGAACTGTGGTATAAACTTGAAGCTGAAGGAAGCTGTTCTGGAGCTGGCCCAGTCTACAGCAGAGTGGCAGATCTTGGAGCACTGTGGGGTTCCCTGAGACAGGGAAGTGCCAAGGCAACACAGAGACCTGCCAGGAGCCAGCAGCTCTCATGGAAGACACTGACAGTACCCAGGCTTTGCCAGAGCAACTGTGGCTGCCCCCACACCTACAAAAAGCAGCTGAGGAAGTGCAAGCAACCAGGAGGACTGCCAACGGAGCAGGCAATAGAGCATGGTGCAGAAGGGCGCGCATGTCACTCTATGAGTTCAAGATGGGAATTCAGTTTTTGGTCATCACCCTCTCAGAAGTCGAGCTGCGATATCCACCCAGCTATGTCCTCTGCACTCACCAGAGTGGATGCGGCAGCCCAGACAGCTTCCATGAAAACAGGCAGCCGTCCAGGTTTCAGGGTGTAGGAAGTGCTGGAGCCTTTCACTGGTGATGGATGGCAGTAGTGAGAACAGCTGTGTGAGGTGTGACCAAGCAGATGATCTGCTCAGCATGGTGGCAGAGCTATGAGAGGAAGTAGAAAGGTTAAGGAGCATCAAGGAGTCTGAGAAAGAGATAGACTAGTGGAACCATGCTCTGCCCTCCCTGAGACAGAAGCAGGAATAACCAGCAGAAAAAGAACAAAACAAAACAAAGAACAAGATCAAGGTGATCCTTTATCCTTCCCCCACCAGGCAGAGAGCAATAGTTCAAAGGAAAAGAGTGATGGAGGCGAGTCCATGCTCGGGGTGGCAGGCAAACTCCCTCCTTCCCTGCCTTGCCTTCCCAGGTGCCTCTGTACAACAGCTGTGGAGCTCTGGATGTGGAAGGCCAGTCAAAGGATGATGTGGATGACAGTCCATCTACATCAGAGGTGTTGCCAAGGTCAGAAGGGCCAACCCCTGTATTGCAGCCACCTCTGAGGAAAGAAAGACATGTTATAGTTGTAGGTGACTCCATTCTGAGGGGAACAGGGAGTCCAATATGATGGACAGACCCACCTCTTGGGGAAGTCTGCTGCCTCCCTGGGGCCCAGGTTGAGAACTTCACTAGGAAACTTCATAACCTAGTACAGCCTTCGAACTGTTACCCATTATTGCTCTTCCATGTGGGTGCCAATGAAGCCACAACATGTAGTCCAAGAGCAATCAGAATAGATTTCAGGGCCTTGGAGAGATTGGCAGGGGAATCTGGAGCACGGGTTATTTTTTCATCTATCGTTCCAGTTGTGGGCAGAGACATTGGAAGAAACAGACACCCAGGCTGTTAATACATGGCTCTGTGGCCAGTATCACCCTCACAGTTGTGGGGTTTTTGACAATAGGATGGTCTACATTGCACAGGGACTGATGACATCAGATGGGATTCACCTTTCTCCAAGAGGGAAGAGGGTCTTTGCTCACAAGCTAGTGGGGCTCACTGACAGAGCTTTAAACCAGACTTGAAGGGGGAGAGGGATAATATCAAATTTGCTTGTGACAGGCTGTGGGATGACATGACAAGGTCAGAGGGATGGAGTGTTTGCAAGAGCTCTCAGCCAGTTGCTCTGAGATGTGCTGGGTATGCTGCAGCACATTGGATGTCTTACAGAGGTGAGCCATGGACTCCTGAGGTAATAGGGGCCAACAGGGAAGCACCAATGAACTACCTCAAAGGAATTAAGGTGTCTTCCTCTAAGGTGACGTGGCCAACAGCCCAGCTGAAGTGCTTCTCCACCAACGTGCAGCATGGGCAATGAAGAGGAGGAGCTGGAAGCCACCATGCTGCTGGAAAGCTAGTTGCTATTACTGAAACATTCATCATTACTGATGAATCCCATGACTGGAATGCAGCTATTGATGGCTACAGACCATTCGGAGGGGACAAGCAAGGAAGGAGGGGTGGAGGGCTTGTGGTCTGTATCAGGGAATGTATAGGTTGTGAAGAGCTGTCTCTGAAGAGTATCCACAAGCAGGTTGAAAACTTATGAGTAAGAATTAGAGACCAAGGCAACAAAGAGAACCTTTGTGGCTGGTGTTTACTAGCAGCCACCTGATCAAGGGGAGCCTGTTGACAAAGCCTTCTTACACCAACTACAGGAGGCTTTGTGTCGCAGGCTCTTGTCCTGCTGGGGGACTTCCACCACCCCCAGATCTGCTAGAAAAGTAGCATGGTAAGCTGGAGGCAATCCAGGAGACTCTTGAAGTACATTGAGAATGACTTCTTAAACCAGGTAGTAGACAGCCCTACCAGAGAGGGTGTGACCTAATAGTCACCAACTCAAGTGAGTTAATTGGTGGTGTCAGGATGGAGGCAGCCTGGGCTGCAGTGGTCATACACTGGCGGAGTTCTCAGTCCTGAAGGGTGTGGGCCAAGTGAAGCGTAAAGTCAGGACCCTGAATTTTAAGAAAGCAAACTTCCAGCTCTTCAAGGATTTAGTCAGTAGCACCTCCTGGGAAACTACCCTCAGGGACAAGGGAGCAGAGCAGAGCTGGCAGATCTTTAAGGATGCTTTTCATAGAGTGCAAGAGCTCTTGCTCCCCAGGTGTTAAAAATCAGGCAAGGAAGGCAAAGAGACCAGCATGGCTGAATAGGGACCTGCTGGTCAAACCAAAGGGCAAGAAGGAAATGCACAGGCAGGGACAGGTATCCTGGAAATAGTATAGGGATGCTGCCCAGTTCTGTTGGGGTGGGGTCAGGAAGACCAAGGTGTGGGTGAACCTGTCCCTTTGGCAAGGGACAAAAAGAATAATAATAAGGGCTTCTACAGGTACATCAGCCAGAAAAGGGAGGTCAAATTTGGTCATCCAGAAGGTCATCCCCCCGATGAACTTGACTGGCAAACTGGTCACAACAGATGAGAAGGCTGGTGTATTCAACAATTTTTTTTGCCTCACTCTGCACTAGCGACCTCTCTTCTTCCACCTCTCAAGTCGATGGGTGGCAGGATGGGGGCAAGCAGAGTCCTTCCCACTGTAAGAGAAGATCAGCTTTGTGACCAACTGAGGAACCTGAACATACATAAGTCTATGGGACCTGATGAGATACATCGCAAAGTCCTGAGGGAATGAGCTGATGTTGTAGCTGCCAAGCCACTCGTCATGCTATTTGAAAAGTCAGGGCAGTCAGGTGAAGTTTAAATCCTTGGCATAGATCCAGTGATTGTGAGGAACTAATATGTGTGTTTAGCATGTTTAGCAAGGGGACCAGTGAAGGAAGAGGAGAAAGGTAACACAAAGGTCTAAGACATTATTAATGGACAAATAAATTGAAACCAGGAAGCATGACTGCATAGATGACAGATTTTAATTAAGCTGAAAATCACAAAGCTCAACTTCTCAGTAAATATTTACCGTTTAGCACCTGAAAAATATTGCTTTGGTGTATTTACTACTCAAGCAATCCTTATAGTGAGCTACAGCTTTAAAAATTAACAAAAAATGGTCATACAGCAGCTACCGGTAGCACAAGTAGTTGCCAGACCAGTTAAGCTGAATAGCTAGGTATAGGCATCTCAACTGCAGCATTTCATGAAAAAAGCTTATGAATAGTGAGGAAAAAAATCAACTTTAGAAGATAGAGTTAGTTTCTAGTAAGAAGTTCAAAACAGAATGGCTGTCTTTGTTTTGCATATATTGGGAGTGTCTGTCAGGAAGCAAGAAGAATTAATATTTATATACAGGCAGATTGTCTTAAAACATTATTTCAAATGTATCAGCACAGAAATGCTTCTACAGGAACATTCTTTATCTCCTCAGGATATTATGCAATCTTTCTGGAGAATGCAGGCGTTCTGATACATGACAACTGAACTAGTGTCATTTGAGCTGTGGTATGTGGTGCTCTGAAAGTGTCAACTATATGTCAGTGGTCTGCATAAGCAAGTAAATAAAGCAAAACACTTGCTCATGTAGGCTTAAAATTGCTATGCAAAGCTCCAGAAATTATGGGGGAGAGGAAAGAGTTGAAAAGGACTTACACAGAACAAGTGGGCAGTTTGCACAAGTCTTTGCGTATCAAGCTTTCAGGTAATTCCAGTGAGTTACATCAAATGTCATGATGATCTTACGAAACAAATCCCACAGGTTCTCTGAAGAGTCATTATGATGAAGAAAGCTATCAGCTGTGTATAGCATGTGTACCCCTGGCAATCAGTGAATTAACAAGGAGGGGAAATGGGTCAGTAGATAAAAGCATTTTTTGCCCAAATTTCTCAATTTTTCACTGTATTGTAAACTCATACTTAAAGACTTCTCATAGAGCAATTACTTACCTAATTTGATTAAGCATTAGAAATTATTTTGGAAGGGAAAACATTGCTCTACAAGCGGTTACAATGATGTCTCTGGAAGACTGATGTACTTAATCAAGATACGATGGAAAACTACTTTTTAGTATTTAAAACTTAGAACAAAGTGTGCTTAATTAGGTTTGTATTGTGAAACTTATTTTTTCCCTCCCCCTCATTAAGATTGTTTCTGTGCTTTAGGTGAAGGCACTGAAAGAGAAGATTGAATCAGAAAGGGGGAAAGATGCTTTTCCAGTAGCTGGCCAAAAACTAATTTATGCAGGTAATGGATATTTGAAGATACTGTATCTGAATCAACCTTATTTTTTATGTTGTTTAACTTTATGTAAAATGTTAAGTCTTCTAAAGATTGTAAGTACTGAAATGCAAACAGGTTTTAAAAAAACTGAAACAAACACAACAAAAAACCCCACCACTAACACAAAACCAAACCAACAGCAGACCTCATTGTCAAAGGGAACTTTTCATTTTGAATCAAAGTTTTTCAGGTTAATACATGTGTGTCTGTTGTTACCCTTATCTTAGAGCACGATATGCTAACAGCTTTAGTCCTGGGTGGGGTATGCTGGGTGAAGTAGAAATAGCTTTTGTTACAAGAAATCGGGATTTAAGTAGATCACATCTCATGTTCTGGGTTAACGCTTGTCTTTTGTTCAGCGTTCCTTTATGTACCTCGGAGAATTAAAAATCAGATTATTTCTTTTGTGTTAACAAAACCTACCACCAAATCCTTGCTATACAAAGGTACTTTCAAGCTCTCTTGTTAGAAACATGTATTCTCTGCTGGCAAAAAGCAGGCTAATGTCAGAGAAAGACATGGAGTTACTTCATTTGAGCTAACAGTTCAAATTATTTTTTTGCAATATTTTTTTACTGTTTTCTACCTAGCTGGTCCATTCTGGAACCAATACAAAGATCCATTTTTTTTGTTCTCACTTCATGTCAGAACTTTAAAAGTTCTATTCCAATACCCTTTCTAGTGCTTTTTCCTCTCAAACCACGATTGAAAGAAACTTTGGTCTTTTTACTTCTTCGATGTACTACTTTGTAAACCGTACTGGTTTTCCACTTCTAATAAGCTAAAGCCAGTGACTGCAATAGAAAGATGCTAATGGTAGAGAAGCTGGGAGTCTCTCTGTGTTTGTACAGACACATCAGGACTCTTTCTTAGCAAGTTTTATGTCCCTTGTACTTCGGCGGAGGGAATGCACATCAAGAACATGAAGTTAAAAGTTACGTGTATAATAAAGAAATATGAATAAGACAGAAGGCCTCGTGCAATGTCTATAATTTCATGACACTCTTAATATTATGTTTCTGTGATTAAAAAAATTAAGGGTTGCTTAAGATCATATGATGTGACCAGTATTTTCAGAAACCAGAATTTATCTGCAGCATTGTGTAATCCTCACAAGCAGTAGGAAATGTAGGAAACACCATTTAGAATTGAAGACCCTCCAAAGATTGATTATATTTTTTTCTTAGACAAGAGATACGACAAGGGTGTATTGATGACATTTTTACTTTAATTAAAACGAGCTTTGAAACTTTGATAGTTTGGTGAAGCATAGTGATATCTCATCTGAACCTGATTAAAAGTATACTATTTGTTGTTAAAAATGCTTGCAATTTTTTTAACAAATGGTTATGCTAATCAGTAGTGAGGTAGATCTCTTGTATTGTCATCTGTATTGTGGTAGAGTCTAGAAACCCTGAGAGTGGTGTGTCCTGAGAAGATTCAATGTTTGCTTATGTACATTGTGCAAGCTGCTTCCCTAAAGTGTCTATAAACCAGAAAATTGTAAGTAAACCTGTATCGATTCAGAGCCAGGTGCTGTACCAGGTGCTATGAAACTCACTGAAATACAGACTTAATTTTCTGATTTGTGATACTGTGATACTCTAAATCAGCTTATCCTAAATAGAGGTAGTCTATGTGGTTTAATGTGTTTCTGAGTTGTACGTGTAAGGCAAACCTGCTTTGCCACAGTACCGTCTCTGCTCATGAAACATCAGAAGTAGTAGTATCACAAACAAATATTTCTGGTTTTGTCTGATCATTTTTTTTAATCCTTCTGTTTAGGTAGCAGGATATGGAATGATTCTGGCTTTTTCTAACGCTTTAGCCTTTTAAGAACAAATAGTTAAATTTGCAAAGTCACAAACTTGTCTAATGCAGATAAACTTAGTCTGTGGCATGGGACTGTAGTTTGCTACATCTGAAGGGCAAACAAGATAAGCAGGAAGGAATTTTCTTACTGTGTCTAGAGTGTGTAAGCAGGCATAAGTTACTTAGTTAAGCTTATTGTATGCTAAAGCCTTTCCTTTATATTATGTGTATCTGCATTAACACTTTTTGTAGGGTTATTAATGTTTATTAATCTACATAAGATGTGTTTTTACGGGTTTTTTTATGAACTGCATTTGTATGAGGGAATTCCAAGATTCTCTGTTGATCTATTAAGTAACTTTAACTGTCCGTTTAATTTGCCAGGTAAAATCCTTAATGATGACACTGCTCTTAAAGAATACAAAATAGATGAGAAGAACTTTGTGGTGGTTATGGTGACAAAAGTGAGTAGGCCTTATTATTTTAAAGGAAATTGCATTTATTCCTTGTTTTCATTGTGACAAGTGATTGTGTATGCCTGTCCTTAAAACTAGTGGAATTTGATAATGTGAAAGTTTTGGTCAACAGTAAAAATAAATGCTTGTGTGAATGGATACAAAATACTGCTTCACAGTCCTAGTTTACCTATGCTGATTGTTGTTGCTGTTCTGTCCTGAATGTTTATATCCAAGGGAAAATGTTCCTGTGGCTGATTTTACTATTTCTTCTTTCTTGTCTCTCTGCGTTATTTTCCTAGTGATATTATTAAAAGGAAGAAGGGAAGATCGTTTGTTACTAAATCCTATGTACAGAACTCTTCCAGTCTTGCTATGTTGCTTTTCAAAACTCATGGCTGTTTCTTTTGTCAAGCTCAACAGCTTAAACCACCTGAGAAAGGATACATGTGCCAACCAACAGGCTTGTGTGTTTTGAATTACTGCAGTGGCAAATTAAAAGGAATGACTGTGACATGTATTTGAAGTATCCCTCCTCTTAACCAGTCACCAGATTGCTTCCAGGAAATCAAGCCAATGACTTTCTAGGCATTTCCAGACCCTTGGGATCTGAATAAAACTGTCCTCATCTCTGTCTTGAGATACAAACTTAGTTTTGGAGTTAGAGGTCCTCCTTCTGGCAACGAAAACCTATATTCAGTTGCCCATCACTTCTGTCTGGAATTGGCTCATTAGATTCTCTGTTTGAACCCGTTATTGCTATCTTCCTGAACAAACAAGTGTTCTAGTCTGGTTTGTCTGGAGAAGAGGCATTTATCAGTGCAAGAAAATAGGTGCAGATGGGATTTCAGAGTACAGCTTTCACTTGGTTTATATCAGAAGAGACACAGACCTCCATGGAGGAGGGATGCTAAATGTAATGCCTTCTTAAAGAACGTACCTGTGTTTGAGTTGGGCAGTTCTTCAGTGCTGCGGTCTTTTTGCGAAGTCTTTAAACTCAGTTCCCTTTCCTTGATTCTTTTGTGGGTAGGACATGCCCTAAGCACACATACGCGCAACCGATAACTTTGTCTGGTGCTTAGATGGGTTTCAGTGTTTTTCTTTGAATGCTTCTTAAAATGTTCCTTATTGTGCCTCTCATGTTAGAAGCTATTTATTTGCGACCTCTCTTTCCTTTCAGACAAAAGGAGGAAATAATTTTTTCCTACAGTTTAAGCAAACTTTGTCTGAAAGTGATTCAACTTGAATAAGTGGTTGTGTTTACCTTGTTAAATTTCAGCTATTTATGCTGGTATGGCAGGGGTGCAGGTCAACCTTGACAGTCCTGAATATTTGTAGGTAAGAGACTACAGTGATACAGCTTTCAGAAGTGTAATTCCATACCTTATCTGGAAGTTACATGCATTCTGGAAAGTGTAATTTCTATATAATGGGATTAATACTACCTCCAACCAAAATTCATGTTTCCAGTAAAGAAGTGAAGATTAATTACAATTATATGCAAATATTATCTACTCTAAAGTTATTGCTGTAGATTTGGTATTCCTTGATTCTCCTGGATTTTTGGTGCTCGCTACAGAACTCAAGTGTGTGAAATGTCATTTATGTGTAGTGTTTCGAATGTAAAGAGTGCATAAGTAAAACTTGTTGCAGGTTAAATTTAAATTTTTTAGCATTTCATTTTCCAGCCAATACCATTCATAATTAATTGTGATTTCTGTCTTTAGCACTTTTTTCCAAATTTGAGTGGTGAGAAAACCTTATGCTTGTTACTTGTCAGAAGTCTTTTGACAAGTGTTTTAGTTTCTTCTGAAAAATGCGCTTTTGTAAAACACAGAATTGTTTTCATATTTAGAGTGTTGTGGTCTATAAATATATATATTTTATCTTTGCATTTGACTTTATACTCAAATAGTGTGACTGCTTAGGGATCTAAAGAAGTACATTAGTGACACTGTCAGTTGCCTGTTTAAACACAATATAAGGCATTATAAATTGAATGTCTTACAATATTGTAATATTATGCTCGATGTTGAGGCAGCAATGTCAAACACAAATGGTCCTAACAGAATTTAATGTGTTGACTATAGAAAGCGTGAATTTAGGAGCTTTGTGCTGTGTCTGAATTCTATTGCCTTCCTATAGCCTAAAGCAGCAGCTGGAGCAACTCTGCAGTCAAATGCTACTACTGCTGTTAGCTCGACAGCTGCAGCTCCCACACCAGTCACCGCACCAATCCCTGCTGCTGCCCCTGTGCCAGCTCCTGTCCCGCCGCCACCAATACCAGATGCAGTTGCTTGTGAGTCTCCACCTGTGAGTGCTCCTACAGAAGAGAAGCCAGCAGAAAAAACAGCTGAGGCACCAGCTGCTGTCAGTCCATCATCATCTGACAGGTATTTGTGAACCCCAAAAATGTCTTCCCTGTCCATTTCTGTTGCTTCTAGTTTTGATTTTAAGTTGAATTTTCCATTACAGTAGTAGTCCAATAATTTTCTCTGTTCTACATAATTTTTCTGCTTTCTTAAATGTAACTTCAATCTCTGGCTCAATTATAACATTACTGATGGTAACAAGTGTCCCTCCCTGTTCACACCTTCTCCTGTGGAAAGTGTCTTGGGACTAAACCTATAGAGTAGAGAACTAAATGACACAGGACTTGTTCTCCTCTTAGGCATTTCAGAGTTACTGTGGCACAGGTTTCTTTTCAGACTGAGGATATTCACCCGTGTGGGGATTTCCTGTTCACAAAGCTCTTAAAGATTCAGAGGGATGTGTCCTGTCCTATTCATAGACCTCTGATTGTGTTTTGAATCACATTGGTTAGATTTGAACCATGAGTTCTTTATTCCTGTGAAAGTCTCTTAATTTCTGGAAAGAGCTTTATCTTTCAAAGTGTAGACTTTAGTATTGCTTGTAATCATGTAATGTCTTAAAGCTACAAGCTTATTTATTTTTGAATGCTCCTTGACCCATCTGCAGGTAGTTGTGGGAGGTAAGATAGCTTTTAGCCTCAATTCTGTACATTTAAGAAAATCAAATGGAAGTTAGAGGTTTCAGCCATGTGGTATACCGTGGCTTTTTTTTTTTTCCTCACTTTAAATTTCTTAAGTATTGCATGGGATAAAAATGTTAACTGTAATTTAATGGTCTTTGAAGAACTGTATAACATCAAGTCTTCATTTTTCATACACTGGTTTTCAATTATTTGAGTGTTATTTGTGAATACTGGTGCACAAGATGTTAATTTTTGAAGTGATTGTACTTAAACACCATAAAATTTATTTGATGATAAGCAAACAAAACTTGCAATTGCCCAATATCTTGAAAATGTAATTACAAATTTGTTGTGCTAAATACCCTAATTGATAATTTAATTTTGCCGTTTTGAGAAATTGATATATTTTTAAAAGGGAATAAAATGAAGTTTCATTTATCAGTCAAATAACTTACGATTTTTTTGTGTTAATAGATGGGGGTTTTTGCTGCTCAGTTTGTCCTGTAGGTGCAAAGATTAGATTAAATCTTTGATAAGGAAACAGTGCTTTCCAGGTTTTCCACATACAGGTTTTAGTGTTGTAACACTGCAGTAAGGGAGCCTCAAATGTACATAGTTAACAGGAAACGAGCATAGTTTAACAAATACATTGTAGTTATCACCTGCCTTGATTTCAGTGAGTACTGCTTGTTTCTGATTTGCTTTAGAAGTTAGGTTCCTAAGGATGGTGAAGATTTATTGAGCCATGGCCAGGCAAGCTGTTTTGCTTTTGCTCCTTTTCAGTTGTAAATCTTAGTAGTGATAGATAGTAGTGAAGCATCCTTGTTGGAACAAATTTTTTCTTACATAAAAGAAATGCATCTCTGTAAAATGCCTTGTCAGATTTTTAATGGCATCTTCCCAAAACTGATTCCGATTAATCTGATGCCCTTTCAGTTGCTGATAGGAGTTGCCGATTCTGGTAGCCTGATAGATGCAAGGCTGCTGCAGCTCCATGGCCCTAGGTCTATCAAGTATAAAGATTGAACATGTATTCCCAGTACATACGCACTATACGTCGATGACTCTGTATACGGCTGGCCTCATAGGTCAGCACAGGCAGAAGAAACCAGCACTCGGGCAACCATAGAGCACTAGCAGTCTCATCCTGTTCCTGTTTGGCTACTAGTGCAAAATACATACGTATAAACGTACAAATGAACAATACAAGTTTCTCCAGTAGCTGGCCTCTAGATCTCCTAGTCTCCCAAGTTTTTGGTACCTGGACATGTGACTACCTGAGCCCTGCAACCCTGCTCCAGTCTCTGGTATTCACATTCATGTTGCACACATATGCGCCCACATATACACAAAGGATCCATCCAGGAACTGGCTGTAGACATGCACTGAACCTGGTTGCTAGTCCCTAGATCTCCTGGTCTCCCAGTTGCCTCATTCATGGACACACCAGCAGGACTAACTGGTTGAGGCCTATGACCTTACCAGTAGCTGACCACTGGATGTTACAGTCTTACCAGCAGCCCCTCTCTTGGACCGTCCGGTCTCTGCAGCAGCTATCTCTGACTTACAGCCAGGCTCTCAAGCCTCTTACCCTAGTCACTATAGTCAAACTTGATGCTTGCTGGTGGTTGCCCATGTGCCAATGTATGCATCCACACAACATGCATGCACCCTAGTCTTTTCAGTTGCTTACACTCCAGGCGTGTGGACCACTATGGCCCCTTCTCCAGTTGCTGGCACTGGTCTGGTCTCTGCAGATATGTGGATCCCTGTGATTCATGGTTCCCTGTCCAGTTGTGGGAACTTGCTACTTCCCTACCCACACTCACGCCGGCACAGAGAACCCCAGCAAGAAGAAATAGTTAGAAATTTAATTGAATTAGGAGGTAAGATGGGACTGGTCAGCTGGTGCAGGGCATGGCCAGGCAAGTGCTGTTTACATGTGACTGTCCCTTTTTCTCCTCTTTTGGCTCTCTTTACCCATGCTTTTCATCTGCAGGGTGCTTTGATGCTTCCCTTTCCCTGCCTTTGGTTCTTCCCCTAGATATCCTGTAAGTCTCGCACAATCCCCCAATGCTTTTTCCTGGTACCCCATTATAAGTTGCACCACCCTGTAGGCAGTTATACCCTTGATCTGTAAGGAGACCTGGAGACCCTCTCCCATTGATTCATCAGAGGTGTCACCCTGAGATCAAGGGGTTCATGCTTTAAGTTGCAGCCCTGGGAGGAACCAGGAGAGGGTCACCCTTGGCTCTGACTGAGTTAACTGGGGTTCCTCTGCCTGGTGTTGTGCCCGTGTTCCTTGGTGTTCATGGAGATGAGCCTTTAATCCTGTAATTTAACAGCTTTGATAACTTGAGATGTAGTAGTCACAAATGTTGGCAGTTTGCAATCATAGGATTGTAGGATACTGAGATTGTAGTAAGTGCTTGGCACTGACCTCCTTAGGTCCTCATTGAGGTAAAACTGGTGACTATGGGGAAGCAGTTAGTGAGACTGCTCTGTGCTTTTGAAAATCTACCTTGTTCTACCACCCTTTAAAGCATTCCAGCGAGCAGATGGTCAGTCCTTGAGCAGATGGGGAAGAGCCAAACTACTGGGGGCAGGGGGGAAGGTTGACCTTTAAGTGTTAAGAATGGTAGCATTGTAAGTTTGTAAAATCTGGTCTCGTTGTAAGACCAGGAGAGAGCTCTTCGGAAAGCTTTGTTGGTTTTTTAGAAACAAAAGGGGCTATTAGAGTTACAGCTGCTGCTGCTTTTTTTGAAAAACTTTTCCAAAGTTTTGTAATTACCATTGCACTTGTCTTCATCTTACAGTACAACAGGTGATACATCTCGATCAAATCTTTTTGAGGATGCTATAAGTGCACTTGGTAAGTGGAGTGTTTTTTTAATGTAGACATTATTTTGGTGCAGCAGAAACAAATGACAGATTAGCAGATGTTGACATTATCTTCTGTATCTGTCATTGTTAAAGTTATAATCAAACTACTCTTCTCTAAGACCTGAAATTGTATCTTAAAACCAGCATCAAGAACTTCTTTACTGAAGAATATTTCACTTCATACATTTTCATTGTGTAAAAGGAAGATCCTTATCATTCCTGGGTTGGTTTTTTTTTCCCCATTTGCCCTAATTTCTCTTCTAAGTATTCAGTTTGAAGTGGCTTGGATAGAAGACTGGACATAAGTATGTGTACAATTTTCACCTTTCCTTTCCGGGGTGCAGGGCTGATAAAATGACTGCCTTTATTATTCACTTGTTCCAGCTTTGATAGTACTGTCTTTTGACACATTTAAAATTAGATAAATTCACTAAATCTGCTACTCTCTTGGTTGAGGAGTGAATATACCTGTATACTTATAGTCAATTCACTTTTCTTTTGGCAGTTTAAATGTCTTTCATTTCTCAGTGGAATAAACAGGGTGAAAACAATAGAAAGTTCTGCCCCTCATGCTGATTCTGGTAGCTAGGAAATTACTAGGCAAACTCACAACTCCTTACTCCTGCTTAAATTTTTTGGAAGGGATTGATTTTTTTTTTTTTTTTTTTAGAGTTTAGCAAATTAAGGCACAGAAATAAGAGGGAGGAGGATTTTTTATTTTGTCTTAACTCTGTAAACATTAAACTGCAACTTGTTACAGAAAGTTAAACTAATCAAAGAGTTTCGCTTACATTTTTTTCTAGCGGTGTGGGGATGTTTGGAGGCAGATGTTGTTATTAAGCTACCCAGGGTGATTTAGGAGCAGTAGTAATGTTTTACCTGTATTGGTGGTAGCCACCAGGTTTAGTCTGTCTAACTGCAGCTTAGGTCTTGTCTTATGACATGCTGTTTTAGGCTGAAGAAATGTATGAGCTGAAATATCTGATAGGTACTGTAGGAGACAACCAGTCGAGTTCTGTTAAAGTGACTGCTGCTACCAAAGATGCTGCAGGTTTCATTAACCATTCATTATACCTTAGTGGCCAAGATGTGGTCATCATAAATAATACTCATGTTAACAATAATGACCAACAAGTTTAGTTAAGCTGGTGGTCTTGATTCAGTTATCTACAGAAAAAAAAAAAAAAATGTCCTTTCACGGTTGCAGGAGAGCATCACCTCACTATCCATTTTATATGGAAGTTTTGATTGGTATCCTATACAGTAAAACCATGTGTCCCTAACAGTTTGGAAATAACAGGCACTGAGTGTAATTTCCTGGATGAGCATACTGCAAGAGTTACGTGCCAAAAAGCTTTCAAAGGCAATAGGCATGAACTTCGGTTCTTTTACTTGAGAAACTGTCCTAACAGGAATTTGCTTGCACAGATCCATGTAGAATGTTTTTACATCCTAAGTAGGATCCTAGGCATGTTCTTACTGTGGCCTCTCAATTACGTTGTCTGAAGATAATTGACTTTGTTTTAAGATCAGGGATTGGTTTCTACTGAATTGCTTTTGTTTTCAGTTAGATATGCTGACTGAAAACTGATGGGGCTTTGTGTGTTACACACAGTTCCTGTGCAACCATATCTTTCACTGAACAGCCTAAGCCTTCTTTAGGGCGTGGGACAAGAATTATTGTGGGGAATGTGATAATGTGATGAACTGGAATTGAAAGCTAATCCAGCTTTAAAACATAAATTTGCAACAGCAAAGGGCAGGATCAGTTCAGCATTGACCTCACAAACATTCCCAGCAGCGCTATATAGAGATAGGCCTGACTCTATATCATGACGTTGCTGGTGTGCAATTCCTGAATTATTATTCTTAGTCTGACTTTTGCACAACTGGTATAAGCAGACTCTATATGGAGTACATGTGCCTAAATTCACAATGTTTCCTTCTTTGGCTTTTAATTATGGCTTATGTAGCAGTCTGTCCAGAACAAGTTGACCTTCTTGCATCTTTTTTTTTTCCTGTACCAAATCTCTCATACTGTTCTAGTCTCTACCTAGCATATACTGAAAGAGCACTACAGAAATCTTTAAGTAGTAACTAGCTGGATCAAAAAGTGTTCTGTCTTCTGTTTACCTTGATTAGTTTGCATAGTAGTTTTACTTGGCTAGCAGCCAAACAGCTAACAGCTGCTCACTCTCTCTCCTTGCCTGGGGAACAGGGGAGAGAATTGGAGGGGTAAGTAAGGGTAAGGAAACTCAAAGGTTGAGATAAGAACAATTTAGTAATGGAAAAAAATATAGCTTAAAATAATAATTGTAATAGTAGTAATAATAAAATATACGAATGACTGATACACAGTACAATTGCTCACCACTTGCCAACCAAGCCCAACCCATTCCTTGATAATGACCCCAAAGGAGTGACAATCCCAAAACCAAAACTGCAATCCAGGAAGAATGAGAGCCTGAGAGAGAGAGAGAGAGAGAGAGCCCGAGAGACCCTCATTAATATACTGAGCATGACGTTATATGATTTGTCCCATTGGCTTATCCAGATGCCAGTTTGGGTTTGCTGATTTTGATATTCATCCCCCCACCACCACCAGTGAGCTTTGCACTTGCAGACTAGCAAAACACAGGGAAGTTGGAAAGTCCTTCATCTTCCAGTGACAACTGAAAACATTAGTATGTTATCAGTGTTCTTGTAAAAAAATCCCATACTGAAACCAAAACACAATGCTATTCTAGCTACTAAGAAGAAAACTAGCTCTGTCCCAGCTGAAAACCAGGACACTGTTATCAATAGTAGGGGTAAACTACTGCTGTGTAAGAAAGAACGTGAGCAGTAGGTTTATCAAAATCACTATGTTGGGACAATTGTTGGCTTGTCATTTTTGCTTCTCTGAAAATATGTACAGAAATATGTATCTTTTGGTGTCTGGGGTTTTTTTGTCTTTGAAAAAATGAAAGTAGATGTAAAATGATTGATCATGTAGTCGTATATGAAGACATGAACTTACCATTCCTTAAATTCAGGTTGGCGCTATTATTTTGAAGTCTGAACAATAAATACTCAAATTAGTCAGGGGTTGTAAATCCTTTATTTGTCTTATGGATAATGCACATGTATCCTTGGGCTAGTGCAGTTATTATTTTTCTTGAGTATATTGCCCTCAGTTATACATACACTGATTAATTAGAAGCATTCTTTAGAAATCAAGTAATGTGGTTTTGTTAACGTTGTCTTGAGTTAAACACCTCCCTAAGGGAATAAAACTTGATATTTTCTTTGCTTATTTTAATTTTGACTTACTTGAGTTAATGGAGTGACTGTAGTAGTATTTGTTTCCTCTGCTTTTTTTAATCTGTTGGTTTTTATGGTGATTGGTAATTTAACTCTCCTGCCACTAGTTTGCTAGTGTTACAGGGTTGGTAGTAGAGATTCAGGATTACCTTTATCCATGGAAGGAAATGGTATTTTAATGCCTGGGTTTGGGGGGTTTTTTCTGGTTTTGTGTGGGAAGATAATATTTAAGATGTAGCTCAGTTACAATTTACAATAAAATAGCTTTTTTAAAAATTTGTTGTTAAACTTGCTGTCTTTGCTTTTAAGGAAGGCAAATAAAATGGATTATGAAAAGAGATAGTAATTTTCCCAAGGATACCATTAGTGTAGTAATTGTCCTTAAAATGCTCCATATATTATGTGTATACCCTTCTGTCTTGATGGCTGCAAGTGTAGGCCAGTTTTAGTCCATTCATGCTGTAAGAGGTGGGGGATTTTATGTGAAGGATGTCTACTCAAATATATATGATTTAAATTAGATAACTTGTTCTGAACTGTAACTGAGGTCTTGAGTAACTTTCCTAGATGTAACTTTTAAGTCTTCAGCCTGACTGGAAATTGTCCATGTTAAATTGTTTAAATGACTTTGATCGTTACCACCAGCATGTAGCAATATACAGTTTTAACTTGGTCACCACTATTTGTCATCTGTTTAACCATATAATAGTGTAAAGTCTTTGTTTTGGAAAAACCTTAATGGCTGACAGATGGCAGGCAGATTTCTGCCTAGAAAGTTTAATTTCAAAACTTACACTGCAGGAGACTTTTCTTGTTTACATCAGGAATTGAATATTAGCTGTGAGGATGCTCTTGACCTTAAATGAAAGCATACAGAGGGAATGTTATTTCAGTTATGAGTACAGAAGTATCACAAGTGCTGCTGTTCTCAATAGAAGTTTGCATTGTGTTCACTATCCTCTATTATTCCTATCAAATGCATAATGAAACCACCAGAATATATTCGGAGTTAAAGCAACAGAACCATGGCAAGTTTAATATGAGCTGTTCTTTAGTCTTCAATTAATTACTCAAATTTGGTTAGAAATGAAGTTTATCCATTGAAACTTTTTAGTGCTTTTTTTTGCCTTATTACCTGAAAATGGTGGTCATGTTACTTCTAGTGACAGGTCAGTCCTATGAGAATATGGTGACTGAGATCATGTCAATGGGGTATGAACGAGAGCAAGTAATTGCGGCGCTGAGAGCCAGCTTCAACAATCCTGACAGAGCGGTGGAATACCTTTTAATGGTGAGCAGTTTATTTTACCTACACTCTGTTCTTTCACTTTTTATGTAGTCCTCACTAAAGAATAACTTTAACTTTGATTTACTTTTTATTTTAAATATTATTCAATCAGTGAGTAATATGTGTTTGTAGAGGAACAGTATTTCTAATTGGAGTATCTGGAAGGTTGAGATTCAGATTTTGAGGGTCATAATGTGTTATAGGAAATACTGAAGTCATCCCTAACTACCTGTATTACTTCTTTGCTTTTATTGTTTGCTGATTTGTGTGGATGTGTGTGTAAAGTATGTACCGTCACAGTAATAGTTTTAACTGCCAGTGGCTGGCTCAAGGAATGATTTCGTGTCACATCTTAGTGACAGCATTAGCTGTATTTTTATATTAGTATCACAAAGGCATTTTTTTAAGTTCTAGATCATTGTTTTTACTGATAATGCAGTGTTCTTAGTAATAAATATTCCAAACAGAAAGATTTGAGAGTTTTTTGAAGTGCGCTTAATTTAACTGTTGTTTTAATTTAAGCAGTGTTTTGGAGAAGAAACAATTTCTCATTTGATAAATATAGGTTGAAGGGTGAAATGAACTTCATTTGGGTTGAGAGGAAATGGAAGAGTAGCTTCACTTTAATGGAAATCTTGTGAGTTGTTTTAGGGGTTTTTTGTTTTACTTCTCATTGTGTACCAATCTGACAGGTGAATGGTAACCACCAGAGAATCTGTCTGGGAACTTGTTGCTTAATTGATATTTCTGGTGCATTTAGAATCATAGAATCATTTGATTGGAAGAAACCTTTAAAGGTCATCTAGTCCAACCCCCTGCAATGAGGGAGGTTTAGACTGGATATTAGGAAAAAAATTGTTTATTGAAAGGGTTGTCAAGCATTGGAACAGCCCACCCAGGGAAGTGGTTGAGTCACTATCCCTGGAGGTGATGAGTAGATGCAGGTTTGAGAATATGGCTTATTGGGCATGGTGGTGTTGGGTTGACAGTTGGACTTGATTATCTTAGAGGTCTTTTCCAGCCTTAATGATTCTATGATTCTGTGAGTAGGGACATCTTCAATTAGATCGAGTTGCTCAGAGCCCCGTCCAGCCTGACCTTGAACACTTCCAGAGTTGGGATATTTCCTTCCTCTCTGAGCAACCTGTTCCAGTGTTTCACCATCCTCATTGTAAAAAAAACCCAAAACTTTATATCTACTCTGTTACAGTTTAAAACTATTAGTCCTTGTCCTGTCACTAAAAAGACAAGAGCAAAGCATCTGGTAGGATGAGATTCAGATTTTGTGGCCGTCCTCTGGACCCACTCCAGACATTCCATGTCTTTCTTTTGCTGTATGCTAATTTTCACTCTGGCATACCATTTTTTCACTGATGTGGTTTTAACTTGTTCCAAATCTAAGCTTTATTAAAATCTTAAAGCCAGCTATCTTGAACCAGTCCTTACATAGGTGATTGAATTTCTGATAGACTGATAAGAAAACTGTCATCTTTACCTCCAGTTATAAAACTTTCCTTTTGTTAATGATGTTTTTCTTCAGTAGTTACAACTATAAGTCACTGGTGTGCTTGCTACTTACGTTAATCATCCCAAGCCTTTGTAACCTGCAGTTTTTAAACAGATCACTAATGTTTTGAGTACACGAATGTAAGAAGTTCAGTTCTCGCCTAGTATTAAGCCAACAAAAGGTGATAAATACGGTCTTGCCCTAAGGGCGAATGCAGCAGCTCCCATCTAAGTGCCATAAATCTGGAGTCTCAAACATTTGGTTTTCATGCCTTAAAAATGTTAATTTTACTGTGCATTTAGTCTGTATATATACTATAAATCCAGTACCTCCTGTGTTAGTCTTGCTGTGCATGTGCTAATCATGTACAGTGTGCATTGCTTATACACTCAGTCTGGTATCTTCCTGCTCTAGCTTATTTCTGCTCAGGAGGTCCTGAATAGAAATAGAGCGTCCCTATGATGGAGTTTAACACATGGCACATCTGCCAAATAGATTAAGTCTGACTGGTCTGAGCAATTAATTTATACTCCTTCAGTAGGTCCCATGTTTAAAATGAGTCCTTCCATTATATAAGGTGATCCCTTTCTGTTTAATGTTGTAGAATCATAGAATCACCTGCTTGGAAAAGACCTCTGAGACCGAGTCCAACCGTACCTGTCCACTGCTAAACCACATCTCTGAGCACCCCATCTACCCGTCTTTTAAACACCTCCAGGGATGGTGACTCAACTACCTCCTTAGGCAGCTCATTCCACTGCCTGGTAGACCTTTCAGTGAAGAAGTAGTTTCTGACATCCAATCTGTACCTCCCCTGGCATAACTTGAGGCTGTTTCCTCTTGTCCTATCACTAGTTACCTGGGAGAAAAGACACACACCCACCTCACTGCAACCTCCTTTCAGGTAGTTGTAGAGAGTGATAAGGTCTCCCCTCAGCCTCCTCTTCTCCTGACTAAACAACCCCAGTTCCCTCAGCTGCTCCTCATAAGACTTGTTCTCCAACCCCTTCACCAGCTTTGTTGCCCTTCTCTAGACACGCCCCAGCACCTCAATGTCCTTCTTGTAGTGAGGGGCCCAAAACTGGACACAGTATTCAAGGTGCGGCCTCACCAATGCTGAGTACAGGGACACAATCACTTCCCTGGTCCTTCTGTTTCTGGTACAAGCCAGGATACCATTGGCCTTCTTGGC